TTAGTATACTCTTAAGCTACTTATTCCTACTTTAGTGAATTCTCATCATCACTAGATACTGGTAATCCATTCCACTCTTCTTGCTGATGAGCTTCATGGACTGATATTTATATTCAGAAAGGTCTTTGACATTTGGGCAGTATTTGAGCATATCATCCTCTTCTTCATTCTGGAAGTGATATTGCTTCTCAAGAACTACAATGTGTCCTTTTTCCTGGGCATGTAGATCGTCTCTTTGTTTTCAAAGGAATTAAGATGGCTCTACTGAGACCCATCATTTTGGATCCAAAATGCCAGGCTTTAAACATACCTTGTTAAGCTCATCTTCTAGCAGGCAGGGATCCAATCCCAGCTTCTCGAATTGATCCTTCTTCACTGTCTTTATCACAGCATACATTTCAGTATAATCCTTGGCTGTGAGATGGGAGAAGTTCACTTGGGGTGGTATCAGAGCATGGCTGAGGATATTTGTGTTCAGATAACCCAGGATCTTCTCAGCATTCCTACAACAGAAAAAGTAGATACAGAGACATTCCCTGGGGTTTAAACATACGATGAAAGCCACCCTCTCTCTGCAAAATAAGCCATCAATTTTTGCAGCTGATGTAGAATTAGTTTTATTGCTCCATAACACTTTCTTCAGAAACTGTATGATGAAAAGCTCTCTTCTCAATTTTGCTGTAAACTCCAGATACCCACCCAGTTGGAGGAGAATGATAGGTTATTGAAATTTCAAACCAGAATGAAGTTGCGCTTAAGAAATGACAGCTTCCCAGAATGTAGAGTCCCCTATCCAAACCACCTGGAGAGAGACAGAAGGTGGTACTTACTCAATAACACACTTCTCATTCATAACATTGGCTTTGAAGCCCAGCACAGCAAAAACAACCAATGTGGCCAAGATGGAAGTAAAGAAATTGATGAAGGAGACAAGGGCTGCGTCGAAGTGGCAGTTATTGTCCTGCTTATTGTAACTGGAAAAAGCAATAACTCCACCAAAACCCAGTCCAAGGGCAAAGAAGACCTGGGTGGCAGCTTCTCTCCATACTTGGAGATCCAACATTTTATCAAGCTGCAAAAAAGAGAGAGACAGAGAGAGAGAGTCCAAGTCATCCCTGCATCTTTGTTGGTCATCAGGGAAACACCTGGTACAACCTATAAACAAAGAGCAAGATTGTATGTATATTTTGTTTATACGCTGGCAAGAGGCCCATAACTTTCTCCTCTGCCAGTGGAACTATGGATGACAGTGAGCAAATCCAAAGAACACTGGGCATTTTTAAGATCCATCAAAATCAAGCAATTACTTGTTTGGAGTGTTCATATATTCATGTTGCCCAAGAAATTATATTCTCTGGGCAGCTTACAATCATAAAATATACATTATTTTTATATGATGCATTTTTATTTGATGAATTACAACTGCGCTCTTTTATCAGTATTTTATTGTTACCCACTGGAGCACTATTTAGCTATAAATAGCCATAAAATTACAAATTGTAAAATAAAGTTGTCAGTGAACCAGTTTCACAGCTAAACTAAAAATAAAGGTTACACAAAGAATACTGTCGTAAATAAGATAATATAAGAGGACCGAGTTTCAGATTCAATTCCCCAAAAATGCCTCAATTCCAAAATTCTACTCAGGAGTGCAAACATAGCCCTAGCTGGTGACTCTCTCAAAATTGCATCTTTCCAAGGTCATACAGCTACCCTCCACAGCTGGCACACAGTCCCAGAGAAGGATGATGTCTGCTTTAGGTAATTGCAGATATGATCTACCTTGACAGTCCTGGGCATTCCAAAACATCTTTTTGAAATGGAATAAAAGCATCCCCATGCGATATAAAAAACACTCCTAGTGCCGCAGATATTTCCATAAGGAAGATGCTAACATTCTGGGATAATATCCAACAACTAAATGATTATTCCTACATATCTGACACATTCCAAAATGGGAAAGGAATGCCTTAAGGCACAACTAAGACTAGAGAGAGAAAATCCCCCTTAATTTTTAAGTACGCTAGTGATCTTCTGAAGGCCTTTCTCCCTCAGCCTCCTCTACTTCATAGGGTAAATATAAAGATATATAGTGGGGTATCTTAACCCCCCCCCCACCTTCTTGGAGGAAATGCAGTATTAAAATGTAATTAATAAGTAAAATGTGCAACTTATTATCTCTACAAAAATGCAAATATTCTGTGAGCATCTCTCCTGTCTAAGCTAAAGGTGTTAGATTGAATGGTAAGTATAATGGTCTTAGATAGCCAGTTTGGTGTT